TGAAAAAAATTCACTGAAATATATTTGTTTCTCTTTCTGCATGACGTTGAGCCTCAACATGTTTGGGGTTGAGATTTTTTAAGACAAACAATTAATATGATTGGACTAGAACAATGACTCTAATTGGGAAGAATACACTTCCATGGTGTGTGAAATATAGTTGAGGGAGAGGCTATCTATAATAATAAAAGCGTAATATGCTAATTAGACCTTCCGGATGTCCTTCTGGACTAAGCTGTGGCAGTGGGGGCCAAGGCAGAAGCGGTTAGGGGCGATCAGGCAAGCAGGTGAGCAGTTAGGGGTGATCAGGCAGGCAGGCAGGCGAGTGGTTAGGGGCAATGAGGCAGGCAGGCACAGTGGTTAGGGGCGATCAGGCAGGCAGGCAGGCGAGTGGTTAAGAGCCAGCAGTCCCGGATTGTGAGAGGGATGTCAGACTGCCGATTTAGGCCCGATCTCACAGGGATCCTAAATTGGCAGTCGGACATCCCCTGAAGGGTTCCGGATTGGGAGAGGGTGCAAGCTGGGCTGAAGAACTACCCCCTCCCCCGCCCCCGCCATGCACGAATTGCATGCACTGGACCTCTAGTAGATTATAATGATCTGTGGAGCTTTATCTTCAATTAGAGATTCCGCTAAATTTCTACCCATCCTACTCAGCATCGGTAACTTGGTGAGTCATTGTTACTTCTGGGAGGTTTATTTCTCAGGTGGAATGGAGGTGGTGAGCAGAGTTTTTAGATTAGATGACCTCTTATATTTGTTCAAGCGCTAACATTCTATGACAAATGCTTTCAGAAGAAAATTAATTTCTATTCATGAGCTGAAATTCCCTCAGCAGTCTTTACAAATCAATTCAGAAAGCAAGCAGCCATGTTATTCTTGAAAATAAATCACTATGGAAATGGAATCAGATAGCAGAAGGGAGTACAATTATTTATTTAAAATGTATCTGAAATTTAGATGTATTTCTTATTGATATACAACAATTCCATCAATAAATTTTAAACCTATGCATTTTCTGCAAATGCACATTTAACTTCCTATTTACATTTTAAACGCATCATTAAAACATGGTTTTGGTTTCAGAAACATTCTGTCCCTGAGAAACTGCATTAACTTATTTCCTTGCTGCTGAGTTCCCAGTGTTGCCAGGACTAAGTATTAAGGGAGTCTATGTTGTAATATTACTTCATCTTAGCTATTTACAAATAAATTATGATAAGCAGATAAATAATGAATAATGCAAGGAAGCTGATTTTTTTCATAGTTGCTTTTTCTTTCCAGCATGGTTTACTGCATATGTACATATTGTGCAAACACACACACAGAAACACAGGGGTGTGCCAATAAAAATGTAACAACTGGCTCTCCAAGGCAAAAAAATTTGTCCTGTAGATTCAGGCAATTTCCATGTCTTAAATCCTGCATAGTGGGTTTCAAGCTACCAACATGAGGTCAATAAACTCATAGCTGGGAGAGATGAGCACAACTGGCTCTCAGGAGCTAGTAGCTCTGGTGCATGGCTGTCCTATCCCTCTGTATTATGCATACAAATATATCATATGCAAATATCGTATAACAGATGTTATATATTGTATATGATTTCTCAATTAAGCAATGAGTATTTTCCATTAAAATCATGAAGTGAAATATTAAATCCATAATAATTTTTACTATAAATTGGTTAAGTCAAGCAAAATAAAAAAAATCACTTAATAATTATATAATTATAATTTAGGGCATGTGAATAAGGTAGATAATTTGTGACGGTTATAACTACTTGAAGTGGTTAAAAAGTGGTGTAGCCTTCTCACATGTAGGTAGAGCCTAAATGACATAGTTTAAAATTAATCATTAACATATTATAAACAGACCTGCAAAAAAAAATCAGGAATATACATTTGATTTGCCCAAAATGAGTAAATCAAATAACTTCCTGAAAGCAGCAAAGCTTTATCTGAAACATGAGCAAATGTCAGTAGCAACACTTAATATATTTGATTCTTGGCTCATTTATCTTCATGGTGATTAATAGGGTGAATAAATATTTACTGCCATAAGAACTTACTGAACTGCAAACTGTGTTAAAGCTATGATGCTGTCTTGAATTCTGTCTTTGGAAGAGCACCAAGAAATAAGCCAAGGGAGGGCCTGAGCTGCAATTTTTAAATTAATAAATGTTTATCAAGTTACTATTATGCACACGGCACAGCAATTAGGCACTGCTTGGTACACAAGATGAATGCATACAGGCTTTCTTCTCAATGAATTTATAATCACTAAAGGGGTAATAATACATCTAAAATACAGGAGCTAGTAATACCCATAAGACAGAAAGATCCTATTTATTTGGGATGTTATGAAAAGTCTTTTGGGACAGATATGAAAGATATTTGGGGACAATGTGGTATTTAATAAGCAAACACTTTAGAGTGAACATAATTCCTAAAGGTGGTGAACCTAGCCATATCTATAATAATAAAAGGGTAATATGCTAATTAGACCGATGTCTTCTGGATGTCATTCCGGACATCCTTCCTGACGAAGCCAGGGCCAGAGGGAAGCCAGCCAGGTCCCAGATGCCAGAGGGAAGCTGCTGCCAGCAGCCAGGGGAAGGAAGGCCTACTCTTGCATGAATTTTCATGCATTGGGCCTCTAGTAAAAATATAAGACTCTAGAAAGGGTGCCATGTGAAAAGCCTGGGTATATTATAGAGGGCCATCAATATCAGCAAGAGGTTACTAAGCTTAAATCATAAATGATGCAAAGCCATTGGAGAGCACTGATCAGTGGAACTCTTGCTCAAATCTATAGCTCCCCCCACACACACACACAGATTACATAAATCCTAATTTCTTATATCTTCATCAACCTGCCATTGTCATTCTGCCATTTTCTTCATTGATGAGTTTAAAGAAACTACTACATGTACTCACTTTCTTTTGTATAAGAACTATGGTTTTAATGATTAAGAAAGTATGCTTTGATTATATACAAACTTTGTTCCTTTGCCAAATATTTAAAGCTTTCTTCATATGGCAGACCACTCATCCCATCCCTTTAATGATTAAGTAATCTCACTTCTTCACTCCTCAGTCCCTTTTTGCCTTCCCTGAGCTACAAAAAAAGGAATCATGGAAATAAGAATATTTTTGTAGAAGTGTTGTGAAAGTGTTAAAAAGAGAATTGTGGATTTTAAGTCATCAAAGATTAGCTGTTGTGGAGACCTGGTTATGGCTGAGAAAATAGCAGAAGATGGGGTGTCCTGGAGTGGGTAGCATGATTCTGATCGCTTTGGAAAAAGGAAAGGAGATGAACTAATGATGACTTTAACCAAAGATGAATAGAAGAGACTCTGTTAAAATGTGTCTAGTCCCAGCCTGAGATGCTAGCTCACCCTTCATTGGACCCTGATATTTTGGCTTCTTAATGATGACAGCGAAATATGTTCTGGCCATTATGGGAATTCTTAAGACAAGGAGTCTTTTTGCCCTAGCAAGAGGCATCTTGAGGGTATTGGATTCAGTCTTTGGGTTCCTTAATTAGCAGCAGACAGAACATGCAGGTAAATTAAAAGCAATTTCTGCAGGCTTGTAGCAATCTGGATGCTAGAACAATGAATAGGGTGGGCACACAACCCCAATAATTCCCTTAACCCTCTTTGAGTAAAGGAAAGATTTGGAATAGAATCTGACATTTCTTCCAGTTTAGAGGTGAGAAAAACACATCATAACTGAAATGCATCTATTTAGGCAGCCTAGTGGTTATAGGTACAAACTGTTGTTTTGAGTAGAACAAGTATGACAAATTTATTAATTCATATTACATCTTTTTTTCTTCCTGAAACAACTAAAAAATCCTCGGGGGGAAAATTGCTTTTCAAAGGTAGAAAACCAAATCTATTTTTTCTAACTAATCATTTGCAGCTTATATTCTTCCCAGCATGAGCTGAGTATAAGCCATATATCTTCTTTTTTTATGTTTTTATTGATTTTTTAGAGCGAGAGGAAGGAAGAGGGATAGATAGAGAAACATGGATCGGCTGCCTCTTGCATGTCCCCAGCAGGAGACGTGCCACAACCTGGGCATGTGCCCCAACTAGGAATCAAACCAGCGAATTCTTCGTGCACAGGATAACACTCAACCACTGAACCACACCGGCCAGGGCAGCCATTACATTTTCTAGAACTCTTTCTATATTCAGAACATAGATCTTAGAAAAAATCTATTAGCATTAATAAGTGTAAGTAAATTATCTCGAGTAATCCTAAAGCACATTACATAGCAAAATATGCATATGCACAAATCTGTATATCACAAACTGAAAGATTTTCCATGCTGACATTAATTGGTGCGCATCTTGGTTGATGCTTCAACTACTGTCACACCAACACTGTGAAGAGTTCACACACTGGAGTGAATGAGGAAAGAGGTTCGGGCTGCAGGGTTTCTTAAACTCTCTATTGACTTGGTGGTAGAGAGGGAGTTACAGCTCTGCATTTGGATGAGTAGCAGTTACCTTTGAAGCAGCCCATGTTAACATTTCTTCAAGACTCGTTATTATCTTAAAATAAGTTCTAAAAGAACTACTGTGCTGGGTCTTCATAATCTGAATAGTCAGAATGCCCTGCTGAACTTCAAACTATTATTTCCCATAAATGTGTCAACTCTTCATCTTTTTTCTAGATTCAACTCTTGAATCTGTAAATCCAAACTTTCCTAAAAACCAACGTTAAAACATTATTTCATTTATTCCCAAGCTGGCATTTGTTTTAGGCTTATCATTACTGGAGTTAAACTTGTATGTTTTCATTTTGCTTTATTTTGCCTCTTCTAGCTAACAAAAGGTGGGGGGAGTAAAACTGATTTTTTTAGAGGAAAACAGTCATGTGATATTTGTTCATATGCACAATAAGCAATATTGTTGGTCGCAATTCCTGCTCAAGGCCAAGAGAAATACACAAGTACTGGTTTATTGGTTATTCACTGAGAGTGAGTACCTGAAGGAGAAGGTTGTCCTTTTACGACACCATTTTTAGTCTTTTCTTCTGAATTCATTACTTCTTTATAGATAAGTTCTGTAAGAAACAATTATCAGTGTTATTAAAAAATAAATTTCTTTAGTCCACAAAGAAAATTCCTTATTTAATGACAAATAACATTTTGATGGGGCTGAGTAAACTAGAACACAATTGGGAGTCCTTTACTCCTCTAATTCTACATTTTCTTGCAATAGCACAGAACCTGGTAAAAGTAGTTGCTCAATAAAGCATTTGGCCAAATAAATGTATGAGGAATACACATTTTAATTGTTTTCTGAATTCTTTGGGGGATTCCTAACACATTCTAACTTATCTCTTAAGGATTTTAATGGTTCAGTTTTGAACATGCATTTTTCTTTTCTACTCTCTTCTTAAGGGGTGTCATTCTATTCTTGTAAATAAATCACTATATTTATGTATAAATAACATTCTCATGACTTCAAACCATTAGTTTCTATCAATTTTTTAACTCTTACTTTACCTTTTTTCCAGACTCAACTCTTGGAATTGTCAAACCAAACTTGCCTAAAACCCAACATTAAAAGTTATTACATTTATTCCCAAACTGGCATCTATTTTTGGCTTTTTTTTTACTAGAGTTAAACGTGTATATTTTCATTTTGTTTTACTTTGCCCCTTTAACTAACAATCACTCAGGGCTACTCATCCCTGCTTTAACATGGATTATAGCTTTTATACTTTTGCAGGTATTTTCTTCCCCAGTTTCTCACATTTTAGTCCATGTCTATCTTCTTAAGTGATATTTATATCCTTTCACTTACTTACTCAACATAAACCCCTAAGAGTGCCTTCTGGTCCTTATTTAGATCAAACTAAGTCTTTTCCATCTATCATCTAATATTTTTTTTTACTTCATCCACTGTTTGTATTCTACATATTTTTGCAATAGCAGAAAGGAAGGAGGATGCTCATTTTTCATATTCTTCAACACGACTTCTTGACCACTGGAGTCTCTTTATGATCTTTATGATACTTCTTGCTCATATCTACCCTTTGTTTTCCTCTTAGGTCCCCATTCTAGCATTTTCCTCTGTTTTTTTTTCATTTTCCTAATTATAAATTCTAAGAATTAATTTATTCAACGTGGCATAAACATTTCTTCCATTTAGATCTTCCATTTATGTTCCTCCTAATTTTGATCTCATTTAATCTGTATTTGGTTTTCTCATATTTATTCTACTCTGTAATTAGTTATATTAGTTTAACTATTCTTTATATAAAGTTTCTGTCTAAGTATAATCTCATACAGTGTGTTTGGGAAAAAATGAATTAATGTATTCATTCATTCTTTCTAACTTTAAAGAAAATAAGCTACTTAGTGTTTTTATTTAAATTCTCAAGTGCTATATATCAAGTGAATGAATCAATATATTATCTTTTATTTTCTAATGTCTAAATCATCTCAGATATGATTTTATCCATTTTGTATAATTTTATATACAAACAGAACATGTTTAATTGTGAAATGTTAAACTGAAGTTTGCCCTCCACCATGGCTAATACCTTGATAATCAGTACTATTTTAAAAAGTGTCAGTATTTAATCCTTTCATTCTTGAGTAAATGAAGTATTACTAGTAATATGAAAGGATAGATTTAGTTTTAGGAGCTTTGAAAATGGTGTAAGAGGGTAGCAATTAGAAAATCCTCTCTTACTAAGTTGTTTTAAAAGAAAAAGGTTTCAGAATATTTTTGGGTTTCAATAAGTAAAATGTATACTTTATTTAAGTAGTAGAGTCACCTTTCCATTCTTCAATGGTGTGTTCTCTTTCATCCAACTGTTTGTCATATATCTGAGGTGGAGGCTGAAAAATAAAGACAAACAATAAACTTTGTGCAATAAACTAAACATGACTAAAGTCTTACAATGTTTTTGGTGGTGATCAGAATCTCATAAAATAAGGAGTAATTATAGTGGTGCAGAAGTTAAAATTTTCCCACCAATTTATGGAGGATTCCTTTACATAACTATATTTGCTCTGACCAAATAAGGTAGCAGAATCCAAATCTTGTGAGCTCATATACCCAAATGTCCTGATTCCAAACCCAAGCCCAACCAATAGCCAGTCTTTAAAAAGCAAGCAAGACACTTGATTATGAGAACCCAGAAGCTTCGATGTCATCCATTCACTTGCCCTATGAGAGAACCCTATTAAAACTGTCCCAGACTGATAAGATTTTGTTCCATTTTTAGACCCCAAAGAAAAAGAGGGATTAATACCTCTCAGTAGACCATAGTACTAGTCTCCAGCATAAAGGAATATCCAGATCTAATCACCCTTTCATGTCTCATGAAGCATAATAAAACACTTTAATGTATAGCTGTGTGCCTTAGAGTTAAATGATTTCAGATAGTCTGCTCCCGCTCAGGAGAAAAAGCTGCCAGTTGTCTATAGAGATTGGCCACCTTGAACCCCTGAGTGGCCCTTTGTTAGTCCTTTCTGGGAGAAATGATGAGACAGGGCCTTCAGTCTGACATGAAATCAGCAGTCCTCTTGCTATGAGAAGTTCAAAGAAGGAAAAGGAGAAATGTTCAGCCAGGAAGGAGGATCACAGATAAATTCCCTGACCTCTTCTTCCTGGTGGTTGGACCTGAGATCTATCGCGGTGACATGGGGCAGTTCCAATTCAGGCCAAGTGACAAGAGAAACGATCTCCAGGAGATAAAGAGAGAAGAGGCTGAGAGCTGCCTCCGCTGGCAATGGAATGAGTGAAAGAAAAGAACTACAAAATGCCAGACGCCATGAGAGAGGGGACTCCAGAACTCATCTTGTCCAACACTCCTAAAGCAAGTGTCTGTGAGAAACTAAAAGAGGTGCTCAACAAAGTGGCTCAGGCTCATTAGGACACACATCCCTCCAAGACAGCCGTTGTCGGAAGGTTTTGGACAAGGTTTTCAGAGACGGCTTCTGGCTTCTGTGGGAGGGTCTCTGGCCCACGAGCAGCACCCACACACCATAGGGGCTCTTCTTTCTGCATCAGATCTCAAGTAGTGTGGACCGTGACAGAGGGGTCTTAGCCGTGACAGAGGGGTCTTAGCCGTGGCAGAGGGGTCTTAGCCGTGGCAGAGGGGTCTTAGCCGTGGCATGCTGGGACAGCCTCACATACCACAGAAGCAGCTGGATAGGAAAATAGAAGACTTTGACCAGTTGTTTTGAGGCAACTTAATTATTGAGCAATAAGTACTGATGAGGCCAGATATTCGTTTAACAACAGTGATTGCGACTGAGGTAGAAGGCTTTAAACCAGCTACTGTGATTCAGACGTGGTCAGCTGAAAGGGCTAAGCAGATCGAGACGCTCCTACCCCACGACATTACTGAGAACACAGAAATACTGACTTGAAAGGTAAGGGGACTGGAATAATGGGGCACTGCCCTGGAGACCTGACTAAGGCTGGATCTTCCACCTTCATTATAAAGGACTCCCAAATTATATGAATGTTATGATTTAATGAGGAAAACAAAGTCATTTTTGAAGATCTGTGAAGCTGTCACCTAAGTCAGCTAATGCAGAGCCAAACTCCGGTCACGGAAAGACGCTTTGCAGAGTAACAGGTTTCCTGCTTTGCCTCTTCCTGAGCTTACGTGTAGTTCTGTGGTAAGGTCCCCCATCTAAGTGGGCCTCGCCTACGCCCCCTGCCGGACACATTGTGCACAAGTTCTCAGAGGTCTCAGGAGCTCTGTGCATCATTGACACCACTTTCCTCTTGTAACAATAGGCCAGCTCAGGATCCTGTGTGGCTGGCTTCTCCATGCAGTGGGTTGTTCAAGTTTCAAAATTGAACATAGCTCAAGAGTACAGTTCCTGCCAAAGTTCACGAATGCCATTTTCTCTTTGCAACAAAACTATTTTGAGAGAAGTTTTCCTTGGAGCTTCAGCATCCAGCTGTTGCTGATATATAAACTACAAAGTACATAAATTCTAACCACAAACAACCACAAGAAAGAAAGCAGAGTACTGAGTCCAATATTTTTCTTTTCAAAAAAACCCAAGAGGGCTGCTTTTAAAAACACTTGCATTATAGTTATGGCTGAAAGGGCTCCATGTTCAGGGTTTTTTGTTTTCCTTTCTTTTTTTTTTAAAGAGGGGATGCAATCACCTGCAGTGAAAGGGTACATTCACATAAAGATGTCTCTTACAAAACAATATAAAAGATTAATTGACCAGTAAACCAAAGAGAGTAATGTCATATTCAAACGCACATACATATGTGCTTAGTCAACAATCGTTAGCATGCCATGGTCCATTACACTCCCTGCCTCCATCTGCACAGAGAAGCCAGTATTCTACTGCCCACTTGTTCCCTCCCCGCACCTTATTAAACAGGAATGTTGTTGGCTAGAGATGTACAGATTTGAGAGGTGTTCCTTGAAATCATGACAGTGGATGAATGAGGTCACCCATGGAGGCTATGCAGGTAGAAAGAGCAAAAAGCCAAAGTAGACCCTGTCAGATACCAAGGGTTAAAGGTTGGCCAGAGGAGCACAAGTCCAAGAAGAAAGAGGAGGAGGAAGAAGAGAAAAAGGAGGAGGAAGAGGAGGAGAGGCTCGTTTAGAGACATACATGGAGAATGAAGATATTGCAGTGGTATAGAAGTCCTGTGATCAGAGAGTTTCAAAAAGAGGAAACAATTGGCAGTTTCTTGAAAGAGAAACAAAGATTTTGGTTTTCAAGGCACAATAAACCATGCCTTAAAACCCTGTAGAGTTTTCCAAAACTCAAAACTGCCACCATACCTAGAAAGATCCAGATAGGTCCTTAGTGGGGAAATAGTAGAAGATAGCACCTAAAAAATCAGAACAATGTAGAAGAAATATCCTCTCACAATATGGACATTGTATATAACAAAACAAAAAAGAACTGTAGAACAGATTGTGAGACTGAAAAGATAAAAAAAAAAAACCAGATTTATAATACTCTCATATCTGCTCTCCCAACTATCTTTGAGGGCTTGATAAATACAGATCTTTTCTCTCTCTAATTAAGGGAAGGCACTTTTTTTCAGAGAAGATAAACTAGGCTCCATATATGCCCTAATAATCCTCAGGTTAGGAAACTAAGACTCAAAGAAACTCCTTTTAAAATATCTTAAAGTCACATAGCTAATTAATGATGAGACGTCGCTTAAAACCCAAATTAAAGAATAAGTCAGAGCAAATGGTAATTGAGATGAATCTAAAATAAGGGACAATGAAACAATATTTAAAGTAAACATCTTTATAAAACAAGAATTGAAACATAAGCCAATAGGGAGACTGCAGGTCTCAATTTGCCCCAAAGAGTCCTGGCTTGTTCTAGTTGTCCTTGTAGTTCTTTTATTCTTTTAAATTTACCTTGAAAGTATTCCAGCTGTCCCCTCTTTTTCCCCATTGATCCCCTCTATCCCTCTACCCCCCAACTGCCTGTCCTTGTAGTTTTTAATAGCCCTCAGTCATTTCACTCTCATGTTTGGGGGCTAATTATGTGAGAACCCTACATGGCAATGTTGTGACATGGCATATTAGAGATCTCACAAATATGGTAATTAAAGGATGAAGAAAACAACTGAATTGCAACATTTCCCTACCACCGGGGTCTCAACAATTGTAGCTGTACCCTTTGTTGCCCTAAGATATCAAGTCAGCATTTCCTTGCATTTTCTCCATCTTTAGGAATATAAAACTCAGCTATAAAATATGGCTCTTGCCAGAAAGTACATAAAAGAGTGCAATTCTATATAATAAAATTGGGACTGATGAATCTGAATTCTGTTGGCATTCTCTTGGTTCTTGTTGCTGGGCATGATTTCTTGCTAAAGAGATCTCTAATCAGAACCTATTCAAAAATCTGATTGATTCTCCCAAGGCACTAGTTGCTCTCTCCTGTGACTTCATTTTATATCATACTAGGGGCCCAGTACATGAAGATTCGTGCACGGGGGAGGGGGGGTATGGTCACTCAGCCCGACCTGCACCCTCTCCAATCTGGGAGCCCTCTCCAATCCGGGAGTTTCTGTCTGTCTTTGCAATCATATGAGCAAATTGTCTGAGACCCCCAACCCAGTTTGGTTTGTTGCTCACAGAATAATAGAGACAGGTTTTTTTTCTTTGCTTCATTGGTGGAGATTTCCTGGAAGTTTTTGGGTATCTTCCCTTTAATTTTTCCTAGACACTCTGATTTTACTTATGTCTCTCACCTTTGCTTTCCCTCCATCCCCCACCGCGACAGTAATTTGCTCCAGGCTCACTTTGCTCTAGTGTCTAGGAGATCCATCTGCCACCAGAACTATGATTCCCAGCATTCCTGGTGCTCCCTGTGCTCTTGGTTTCCACTTCTGGTCCTGGGGCTGCCACCAGAACTACTATTCCCAGAATTCCTGGTGCTCCTCACGCTAGGAGCAACTGAGGGAGCCATGGCCCCCCAAACCTCTGGCTCTCCTGCTCTGCTCTCTGCCCAGCGTCTGAGGGAGCCACGTCCCCCAAAGGGAGCGACCGAGGGAGCGACTGAGGGAGCCACATCCCCTCAAGTTGCCGGCTCTCCGGCTCTGCTCTCTGCCCGGCGCCTGTGTATCCAAATTAATCCGCCATCTTTGTTGGGTTAATTTGCATACTCACTCCTGATTGGCTGGTGAGCATAGTGAGGGACAATCAATTTACATGTTTCTCTTTTATTATATAGGATATTTAAATAATACTTCTTCATTGAGTAAAATGTATGAATTGATTCTTTCCTTAATCTTCAAGATAATTCTATTTTCAACAGCATCATAGAGTGTTAGTGTTGGAAGAAAGTTTAGAAATTACCTAGTATCACCTTTGTTCACT